TAAGCAAGTGCAGAATGTGCATTTGGACATTTAAAGGGTCGCTGGCACACTTTACTGACTCACTCAGACCTCAGCCAAACCAATATTCCCATTGTTATTGCTGCTTGCTGTGTGCTCCACAATCTCTGTGAGAGTGAGGGGGAGACCTTTATGGTGGGTTGGGAGGTTGAGGCAAATCGCCTGGCTACTGATTATGCGCAGCCAGACACCAGGGCAATTAGAAGAGTACACCAGGAAGCGCTGCGCATCAGAGAAGCTTTGAAAACCAGTTTCATGACTGAAAGTTCTGTTTGTTTCTCCTTGATGAAACCTTCTCCCCCGATTGACTCATTCCCTGTAAGCAACCAACCCTCTCCCCTTCGACCACAGCTTGCTTTCAAAGGAAATAAAGTCACTATCATTTAAAAATCATGTATTCTTTATTAATTGATTATAAACATAGGGAGAGAACTGACAAGGTAGCCTGGGTGGGGTGTGGGAGGAGGGAAGGAAAAGGCCATTTCAAAACTTGTTGAATGACAGCCTTTTGCTTGGGCTGTCCACTGGGGTGGAGTGGCAGGGTGCATGGAGCCTCCCCGCCCCACCCCCGCATTTTTGGGCATATGGGTGAGGAGGTTATGGAACTTGGGGAGGGCGGTTATACAGGGGCTGCAGCAGCACTCTGTGATCCTGCTGCCATTCCTGAAGCTCCACCAGACTACCAGAGCATGTCCATTTGATCACACAGTAGCCCCAGCGTCGCATCCTGCTTCCTCTGATCTTCCTGCCGCCACCTCTCATCTCGAGCGTCCCTTCTGTCCTCACGTTCATCCCTCCTGTCCTCACGTTCATTGGCCGCTTTCCTGTGCTGTGATACCGTGTTCTTCCACTCATTCAGATGAGCTCTTTCATTGCGGGTCGACTGCATGATCTCAGAGAACATTTCATCTCGCATGCGTTTTTTTTCCCGCCGCTTTATCTGAGATAGCCTTCGGGACGGAGGAGGGAGGCTTGAAAAATTTGCAGCTGCGGGAGGGAAAAAAGGGAGAGAAGTATTTAAAAAGATACATTTTACAGAACAATACTTATACTCTTTCACGGTGAACAACACTATTCACATTACATAGCACATGTGATTTCGGTACAAGGTTGCATTTTGCATCTTAATATTGAGTGCCTGCGGCTTTGGTGTTAGAGATCACAGACGCAGGTCCGGGCAACAGAATACAGCTTGCATGTGGCCATGGTAAGCCATTGTCTTTTGGCTTCTGCAACCTTCATAAAAGCAGCGCCCTCCTTTCCCATACCAACCAAAGCCCGTTGAGTGCTGCGGTTTTCGTGTTAACATGCAGCAGCAGCAGAAACCAAACTACGCCCCCCCATCCAATTCTCTGGGATGATCGCTTTACCCCTCCCCCCACCGCTTGGCTGGTATCAGGGAAGATCCCTGCTAGCCAAATGCAAACAGCTCAGCACCAATGGCACCCCCCCCCCCGCCCCGCTTGGCTAACTGCAGGGAAGGATTTCTTTTCAGACACAGGCAAACAACCCAGTAGGAATGGCCACCTCTGTCCCCTTAATTAAATTCCCATATTTCAACCAGGTTACCATGAATGATATCACTCTCCTGAGGATAACACAGCGAGATAAAGAACGGATGTTGCTTGAATGCCAGCAAACACCGGGACCACACGCTGCCAGGCTTTGTCATGCAATGATATCAGATTACTTGATACTAGCATGGCGTGGTAAAGTGTCCTACCATGGAGGACGGAATAAGGCTGCACTGCCCAGAAACCTTCTGTAAAGGCTTTTGGAGTACCTCCAGGAGAGCTTCATGGAGATATCCCTGGAGGATTTCTGCTCCATCCCCAGACACTTTTCCAGTAGCTGTACTGGCTGCGAATGCATCCCACGTCCTCAGGGCAAATTAATCATTAAAAAATGCTTGCTTTTAAACCATGTTTTATATTTACAAAGGTACACTCGCCAGAGGTCCCTTCCATGGCGTCATGGTCTGGGATACCGCCTTGGGAGGGTACTCCAGTCAGGCTGAGAAAAAGATCCTGGCTGTTCGGGAGAACGGTGTGCTGTGTGCTCTCCGCAAGCTGCTCCTCCTCTTCGTCATCTTCCCCGTCTGCAAAATCCTCAGTCATGGCTGAGATTACCCCCTCATCGGAGTCCACGATCAGGGGTGGGGTAGTGGTGGAGGCCCCTCCTAGAATTGCATGCAGCTCAGCAAAGAAGCGGCATGTCTGCAGCTCTGCCCCAGACTGTCTGTTTGCTTCTTTGGTTTTCTGGTAGGCTGGTCTGAGCTCCTTAACTTTCACGCGGCACTGTAGTGAGTCCCTATTGTGGCCTCTCTCCATCATGCCCTTGGAGATTTTTTCAAACTTTTTTTCATAGATTCATAGATTCTAGGACTGGAAGGGACTGCGAGAGGACATCGAGTCCAGTCCCCTGCCCGCATGGCAGGACCAAATACTGTCTAGACCATCCCTGATAGACATTTATCTAACCTACTCTTAAATATCTCCAGAGATGGAGATTCCACAACCTCCCTAGGCAATTTTGGCATTTCGTACTTTGGAACGTAGTTCTGCTAGCATGGAATCATCTCCCCATACAGCAATCAGATCCAGTACCTCCCATATGGTCCATGCTGGAGCTCTTTTTTGATTCTCGGACTGCATGGTTACCTATGCTGATGAGCTCTCCACGCTGGGGAAACAGGAAATGAAATTCAAAAGTTTGCGGGGATTTTCCTGTCTACCTGGCCAGTGCATCTGAGTTCAGATTGCTGTCCAGAGCGGTCACAATGGTGCACTGTGGGATAGCTCCCGGAGGCCAATACCGTCGAATTGCATCGACACTAGCCCTAATTCGAACCGGCAATGTCAATTTCAGCGCTACTCCCCTCATCGGGGAGGAGTACAGAAATTGATTTTAAGAGCCCTTTATGTCGAAGTAAATATCTTCGTTGTGTGGACGGGTGCAGGGTTAATTCGATTTAACGCTGCTAAATTCGACCTAAACTCGTAGCGTAGACCAGGTCTTAGAAATGCTCAGTATTCAATACTAAGGGTTACAATTTAGTAAATCATGTCAAAAGCAGTATCCTTTCAGATGTTTCTTAAATGACACCTGACTTTACAAGGCCAGGGTTATGTGACCTTCTTAAGAGCAAGTCTTGAGGTGCTTTTCAACTAAAACAAAAATCAATGAGTGGGAAGCTTAAAAAAACATTACAACTGGAATAGCATATCTGTTTACATGACTGAGAATCCTGTTTTTAATCTGTATTGAAGCATTTCAATCTATCTGTAAGGCACAGATTTATTTCATACCGATGATGGGTTTAATAAGCATTCCTTCACTGATCTCTGAAGTATCCTGTTCATCTCCAAAATGACTAAAGGAAATCTCCTCTTGCCACACTCTCATGTGTTTTCTGTGCTGGAGAAAGGAGCTATATTATCATAGCAGGGGTGGAGATGGGGAGGAGTAAATCTAACAGGCCATGGAACAGGCAGATCAGGTAGCACATGCTGTTGGATAGCCCAGCATGAATTCCAAAGCCTGTGGGACTCCAAGCTGAGAGATTGGTGGATAAAATTAATGCAAAATAAAATCTAGGGACATGTTTATTCAGGTGTTAGTAGTGCGTGCATAGATTACTGAAAAGAAAAAAAATGCAGACAATGTATTTTCTTGTGTAAGATGCCAGATTGACTTGAAATCTTGTTTAATCACTGGCAAGTACGGCACAAGTAGTCAAGAAACCAGCTTCTCCATGTCACTTTACGAAAGAGTCTGAAATCTGACCCAGAGAAACCACACCCATGGGATAAAAGAGTAGAACATCCATTGTCCCCCTTCAGTCTCTCGTCTCTTTAGACTGCCAAGGCTGTCTCAGTCCGTGGTGAGGACACTTGTTCGCTAGAAGCTGCAATTATGCTGCAAGTTAGGTCATGTAGCTGATAAAACAGATGTTCGGTGGTAACAACTCTTGTCTGCATCTCCTGAGCTTAACTTTTGTCCCTTCTAATTTAGGCTAAATTTGAACTGGCAACCATGTATTTCATAGCTTATTGCCAATCCTCTGAGCTACCTAGTCTCCTGTTTTAATATTTACTGAACAATGGTTTCCTCCAGTTCTCAGCCTAATGGCTGCTTCCACACTGACATCACTAGTAATATAGCATGACAGAGTCTGGACTTCAACATCACAACTGGAAAGACTTCTGCAGTACTGGCAGCAATAAGAATTAGATCTGATGGCAGGCTTGAGACAGATGAAGGGAGGACTGCTTAAGCTAATGTTGGAAAAGAAGAAAGATGGAATACATTCAAATCCTTTCTGAAAATGCAACTTCTTCCATGAAGCCCACCAACTATAGTCCTCCAAAATAAGTATGCACTATAACATTAAAAGGGAGTTCTGAAACTTTTAGACATTGCTATAGCTGAATCTCTGATTTACACTTTTATGTTAAACTTCTGAACCTGTCAGGTTTGCACAGTGGTCTTAGACAAACAACACAGCAGAATTGTCTACCTGGCACTGTATCAAGATGTAGAAGTGGAGCTACTAGTTCTTTGAATCACATCACACCTGAGCAGCTATGTTTTTTTTTCTTTCTTTGGGATTTATCATTTGTTTATAGCCCCATATATAAAGTTTTTAAACCAACGGTGTTTAGGCAAGGTTCAGACTTTGGCCAAACCCAATTCTAACTGTTTGGCCAGCCAAACCATTCCAGAACTGTACTCCAAAACCCAGTTCTGACTAACCCAAAACCGTTCTGAACACTCACCCAGCATTGGAGGTAGTTCATATCAGGATCCAAATTTTGCAGGTGGTTTCTATTTCTAAAATAGGCTGGTCCAAAACTCCAGGTCTGCACATGTCCAAAGTTTGTTCAACATTTGAAAGCATTGACAGGATTTTTCAGAGAGTTAGAAAAAGCATTCATGGAAAAGCACTGCTCTCCGGCCACTTTTGGAAGGGACAGAATGAAGACATTACTATAATTTTGACAGGAAAATATAAACTACATTTCATACATAGAAAGCTGGCTTACTTGTTTGCCTAAAGATACTTTAAGTTCTCATGTCTTTCAGACGATAGAATCATTCTGTTGCATCGTGGATCTTTATAAGGAGATATAGTCCCTTTTTGGTTCCCCTTTCATTTTTTTCTCCCACTCATTGCTCTCCTTTAATTTCCTTTCTGAGGCTCCCATATACTTTTTACAAATGTCAAAATCTTGGCTAATGCTGTTTATTGATCTGCTTTTCTCTCTCAGCTGTATGAGCCAGTTGGTAACAAGGTGCTGGTTCAGTGTGTCAGGTTTTCCCAAGCAGCCAGAAATTCTTTGCGGCTCCATAGCCCAGGATGATCTGATACAGAGATCAATAGGTCAGACAGTTCAGTTTCTTAATGCAATAATATTAAAGCCCTGAAGTCAGCTTACTAGGGACTATCAGAGGTGAAAAGAAAATAATAGAATCATGGCAGAACTGCAAAAACATGAAGGGAATGAACACTAAAAAAATGTGGAATAAACTACAAGTGTCAGCCTGTGAGCAAAGAAAAGATATTTACATTTCAGTTGCTTTATATGCATCGGAAAACAACCAAGATGTTTTCTGTCACCCCTCTGAGCATTTCACTTGTATGTTTTACCCACTTCCCTCACCCTTCATCTGTTTTTTATCCATTTTATGTTGTGCATTCTGCAGACCAGGGAGCGTGTCTTCTGACATGTTTGTACAACACTTAGCCCACTCCTGATTGGGTGTTACCATAATATAAATAATAAACACATTTTACCTGCAGTTAGCTGCCATTAGCTCTTTGGGGCAGAGATTATCTTTTTGTTTTAGACTAGCAGCCGTGTTAGTCTGTATCCGCAAAAAGAAGAACAGGAGTACTTGTGGCACCTTAT